AATTTAGACCTTTCTACATAGCCTAAAAATGATGCATATGACTGAAAAACCATATACTAAAAGTATTAAATATGCACCAAATATTTAACAAAATAGTATAGTATTTCTTTTGTTATTTAGTCTTCATTCTTAATTATCAACAGTGGAAGACCAGGAAAGCCAGCTTATAGTAAAGGCACTCAATTTTTCAAAAAATTATTAAAATATTTTATGTAATTGAAAGTTTATTTACCTATGTCATAGACATACTTGGGCTTGGACTTGCACTAGGATTTGGGCTTGTAAAATTAAAGATATCTTTACCTTATAGTCCCATAGATCAAAACATTATTCAAAAATGTTTCTCTCATTTCAATTTGTTTGTCATACGATGACTTGATACAAATTGAATATGTGATCTTAATTTAAAGATATGTTAAATGTATCAAAAGTCGTTTAATATTGTGGTCTTAAACATGTCATCTGAAAAATTGAAATTAGAGAGTACGCTTTGTTCAAATGGGAAATAAACATTATTTTTAAATAGATAAAAAAAAGTAGGCCAAACAAATTGAAACGGAGGAATTACTTAATTTTTAAAAATATTTCTACTTTTAATCTTATTTAGATTATTTTTTTGACAGAATAGCCGGTGGCTTCGGTATGTACGTCGTATTCCATATGGACATATTATGTCATTATTGTGTCGAGGCAGATTCAAAATTTGAATCTTATAAATTTATATAGCTATCTCAAATTAAAATATAATAATAATTAAATTTACAATTAAATATTTATAATTATTTTAATAAATGTTCTACTACATATCGTACATGTTATACAATTACCTTATCAGTTTTTATTTTCATTTATTACGAAATGATTGCCGGTAACTATTTATTACTTAGATGGAGGTTATTGTGTAAAATTTATTTTATATTGTTTGGGCATATAAATTAACAACTTTTTTAAAATGTAGCAAAATGAAAAATAAATAAATATATATTCTCAATAATAATGACAAAAAAAAACCCAGCTAGCTCAATTATCAATACAAGTATACCACACAAAACTGTAAACTCGACTTACACCAACCTTTGCCCCACCCCCCTCCACTCACAAAATGGGAAATTTATAATTAAAATAAACATTTATGACTATACATTATATTAAAAAAATACATATATATTTTTAATTTATATAAATTAAAAATAAAAAAATGTATCGCGTAAATTAAAGTATATTATATTAAATAGAGAGAGAGAGTTTGTGTCTATAATAATCAATCAACAAGCTAAGTAGCAGATCAAACACTACTAGAAAATAGAAATTATGAAATTTATCAATTATTCCCAGTTACTTAGTAGCTAAATAGTTGCTAGCTAATTTTTATTTTTACTTTTTTTGTAAATAACGCATAACTAGATTGAACTAGCATGAATTTTTACTGTGTTTAGTGAGAGAAATTTGTTGGTCGCTAATTATTTTTTCCTAACAATGGAACCCCACAATACTAATCATAAGATATAGTACATGTTGGTTACCCTATTATGCTATTTGTGCCAAAAGCTAGCTACCAAATGAAATTATTTTTTGTATTTATTAGTTTTTATTTTTCTTTAATTGGTAATGATTTAATTAAATGGCACTACCCTTGCAAGTTGCTAAAGCATATACTCCATATATATATTAGCTGTATCATGGCTGTCTTGAAATTACGGCTAAATGATTAGGTCTTTCATTTTTATAGCCTTGTGTATTGTAATAAATAATGTGAAAATGATGGATTTTGCCTTTTACTATATTAATATTATAGTTGGGTTTTTTGATGAGAATCCTACTTTTAGTAATTAATCAAATAATAAACCTCTTTACCCTCATTGTCTTTTGCTTGTCTAAACTTTTTTTGGTCCTATCTAATTATGATGATTGAAAAAAAGAAGTTATATTTTTAATTTCGACTTTTTGTATAATAATCATTAATATCTTTTGATAATTAGTGGAATTTCAGAATTGATTCGTGAAGTTCATACTTTCACAGTTTAAATGTAAAAAAATACTGAAGTTTTAGATTTTTATGAAAATGTTCGAACATCACAAGTTGATAAATGTTCAATTTTTGGTGAAAAAATTTGACGTGTTATTTCGTATTTTAAATAGCGATATTTTGTCCAAAATTTATTTTCATATTAAAAAGTAATCAACTTATTCACTCAATAATTGTATAACACATTAGCTAAAACTTTATTAGCTATCCAAATATTCGAAAATAAATAGGACGCTCATTTGAACCACACCCTAATTAAGTAAAGTAAGAAACTAGATACTCCCTCCGTCCAACAATAATTGTTTACTATACTAAAAATAGTTGTTCAACAATACTTGTTCAGTTAGAAAATCAAGAGATAATTTACTACTATTTATCATCTAACACATTTCTCAAAACATTAAATTTAATAAAGTTTAAGGATAAAATATAGTAATTTTGACCCTATTATTTATCATTTTTTAAGGGGTGTGTCAAGTCAATTCAATAGTGAACAATTATTGTTGGACAGAGGGAGTTAAGTGTTTCTCTTGCATGACTATTTTTTATTTAGACAAAAGAGTTGACGATCGACGTAGATATTTTTATACTACTAAGATTAATGTCAACTCTTGTAGATCACGATGTTAGACTATAGTATATAATATTTATTTCTACATTAATATGAAATGATCCCCATCTGCAATCTTGGATAGTACACTTTGTCACTCAAACATTCAGAGAAAAAAGAAAAAAAAAGTTTGTTTGAGGAATCATGCAGGAGTTGTCATCAACTATAGTTTTGCTTATTCCTACCTTTGATCAGAAGCAAACCACTGTGCCCACCCTCTTTTTATAATCACAAGTCACAACTTACAACTATTAACCAAAAATTTCATTGCGTAAGTAAGAATGTCAGTAATCATAGTCTGAACTTGAAATTAAATCTTTTGTAGGCTCATCTCGTCGATTGACATTTCGATCCTGGTCATTCATAGATAATCGACACTTTCATTAGTCATAGGCTATTGCTCATTCTTAATAGTCACAACTCTGCCCATTCCCTATTCCATGGGCCTAGTTAAATAAAACCTCAGAAGAAGAGGAAAATCCATAACTAGAAATTTGTGTGAAATAAATAAAATATGTCGTACAATTTATTTTTCTCAGTCCTCATGTGTGATAAAATCACAAATCACAATGATCAATATGTTATTGTTATTGCACATGGCAAGTTGACTCGTGTATTATTCAACTCAGTAGTTTCATTTTATTAAGAGAGACATAGATCACTTTGTCATTAGTTTAACTTGATTCATCTATTAATTTTCTTTCTTGATATAAGGAATTGAAGGGATTACAACATATAATTAAGGGAAATTTACATATTTGGTGCACTGAAAAAATATTTACAACCCCACCTAATCAACATATATATAATATATTTGCTTGCTATTTTTGTTAATTTTCTAATAATGAACCCTAATATTTAGTCCATTTGTCCTCAATTATTTATCGAATTTTGCTTTTCAAAATTGTAAAAATTGATAAATATTTTTAAATATGTTTTTTAATCTTATTGATATGTGAAGAACAACAACTTATAGTTATTTTCTTATACAATTTTTAAATATTGAGTTTAATTTAACTCAATTCAATTTTAAAGATTAACTAAATTGACTTGAAAAAGGAAAAAAATGACATTAATTTTGATACGGGGAAGATACTTGTGAACTTTATGCTACTAATAACTAACAAAGGATTATTATATGATTCTTTTCTTATTTTACACACGGTGTCCGAATCAATTTTTAAATTTGACTAATCTAAATTCATATCGAATTTTTTTATTATCGGGATAAATTTTTTTTTATCAAACAAATTTACATACTCAGTGCTTAAACTCGAAACATATAAGTTAGTATTTATCATTTCACTACTACCAAGGTGGTAAAAGAAAAAAAATTTATATGAGCGTCCATTGGGAGAAGTTAAACTTTAAAGTTAAATATTTGCCCTTCACAAGAATATAAATAACAAAAGTGAATTAATGAGTGATCGAGTATAATCCACCCACTAATTAGCATGTAATTAAAATAAAATAATCGCACTCCGACACCATCAGTCCATTTTCTCATCAATTAAGTGTGGTTAAATAAGACGTAGACCTCCCAACTAATCCAAAATTAATTATATCTTTTCCAACTCATGATCTACATGTATATACTACCTACTATTAATTATTTCTAAAAAGTAAGATTAGAAAATATGATAATTTGATGATTATAAAGTCAAAGATCTAAATTCTGGACCCATTACAAGGAAAACCATTCTTTTCAAGATCCTTTAAAGCAACCACAGACAACTTATTTTCATGCATGAAAAATATATATATGATCATAATTAACATGAGAAAAGTTAATGAAATAATTAACAAAGAAAACAAGATTATTCACTCCTGAAAAAAATAACACTTTTTAATATTTATATAACATTTTATATTACACTCTTTCACTTTTAATCTATTATATATTTTTCATATTTATAAATAATTTATCATCTTATCGTGAATAAAATTACTTATACTCACAATTATTATACTTTATATTCGGTCAAATATTGTCACATAAATTGATGGACAATTAGAAAGTATTAATACACTGTTTTATTACCAACTTTAAATACAAAATGTTGCTCATAATACTATCTTTGACATAAAGTATATATACTCATCATAAATATTAAATTTTAAAAAGACAAAATGAAAAACTGTCGGTTCACCTAAAAAAAAAATCTTAAAATTTACATCTTTTTTCAAGAGGTTTTATAGATTTTTCTTAAAAAATAAAATTTCATAAAAGAAAGAGTGAAGACAAAGAGATAATGGGTACTTGGAATAAAAATGAAATAATTGAAGGGGAAAATATGGGGCCCACTCCCATATTGTCAAAAAAAAATAAAATGCTTATAACCTATAGTTCACAAGCTCAAAAAAAATAAATCTCTCCATGTGCAATTCTTGCCATTGCTTCATCATTTCTTGCTGGCAATTTTTCTTCCATTTACAGTTCAACAAAAAGATTTCTCAAATGTCACGTTCTTGAACATGTCTTTGTTCTTTACAACCATTTCTTTTGCTATTTGAGTTTCATTTTTTCACCCATTTTTCCCCCTTTCTCCACTAAGCTTGCTTTAGTTGAACATGGATTCCAAGACCCTTCTTGATTATGCACTGTTTCAGCTCACCCCAACTAGAACAAGGTTGGTTTTACCCCCCCCCCCCACCCCCACCCCCCAGGACTAGTGAGTTTGTGTTAACTGTTTTTTAGCTTTGTACTGTTATGGAAACTGATAAAGATTTGATTTTTTTGTGTTTTTGGTTTGTGGGTATGGAAAAAGATGTGATCTTGTGGTGTTTTCTGGGGGTAAAAATGAGAAATTGGCATCTGGGTTGGTGGAACCATTCATTTCTCACTTGAAATTTGCTAAAGATCAGATTCCAAAAGGTGGGTATTCAATAACTATGAGGCCACCTTCAACTCATGCCTACTGGTTCACCAAAGCCACATTCCTAAGGTATAATTTTTACTTCATCTTTGAAAAGTTTCAAGCTTTTAGTAATTTTGTCATTGTTCATTAGTACCCACATGTTATGTGAATCATGTGGAGCTTCTTGAATTGCTGAAAGTTTCTTGCAGATGATCTTGTTGGTATACCTTTGGATAATTGGTCATAAAGCATCACTAGATTGTGATTATGGGTTAAAAAAGTAGACTAAATCTTTATAGACTTTTTGCTAATAACTTCTAACTAGATGTAATTGCTCATTGGACTTACTGGAAACAGGGTAGTGTTGTTTTAGCATAATTAGTGTTCTTTTGCATTTTGGAAGCTATACTATAGTTGCAAACTGTTAGTAACGGAATGCTAAAGAATGAATTCTTGTTGGATCTAGCATAAATGTGAAGCTGATGCGATGGAAGACTCAATTTTATTTACTTGTGCTTTCTTTGTGTTTGTGGCAGATTTGTACGCTTTGTTAGTACACCTGAAATTCTTGAGAGGTTTATGCGATTGGAACGAGAGATCTCACAGATCGAGAGTTCCATTCAATCCAATGAATGCTCCAATGGCAATTCAGAGGAAGGTATGTTCAAGACATCAAATTAAATATGCATTGTCCATGATTGTCAATTCTAGATTTCTTCTTTTTATGATAAATAACATTTGTAGTTTTGTACCTTTCTCGGTAGAGTTTATACTATACTCAGATTTGGGGCTAATGTACATTTGTTGCTTGACTTGCAGGTAGCTCACCAGCTAATAGTGAGAGCACCAGGAAATCAAACGATTCGTTCAAGGTAATTTAACTTGATCACAGTTATATTTTTGGCTAGTGATTTCCATTTAGTCTAGTAGCTCATTATAAAATTTCACTTTGATTGTTTTTTCTAGGCAAAATCTGAAGTTGAAGAAGCTAATAATGCTGCACCTAAAGAAAACTCTAAGTAAGTTATCTTCCCATGGAAGCAACAGTGAACTGTCAATGCATCTCCACCAGAGAGTCTTACTGACTTATTTGTTTTTTATCATTTCAGGATTCACCTCCAGCGCCACCTGGATACCCGAAAGGCATTACTTCGGAAAGAACAGGCCATGGCTTATGCGCGTGCAACAGTTGCAGGCTTTGAGATAGACCAATTGGATGATCTCATACAGTTTGCTAATTCTTTTGGTGCCTTACGTCTTAGGTATGATACAGTATAGTGTCTTCATCATAACCTACATTTTGTAGCTTAGGTATATAGAGAAGGAAAAACAACTGGTGTAAATTGGATCACCAATGTTTGTCTTTTGACTACTTTAGTTGGAAGAAACATTTATGGCAGGTTCCAATTATCATTGTGAACCTTTGTTTCCATTCTGGAGCATAACAGAAAACCGAGTCTGGAGGACATCTGCTGTCTAACAACCAAAGAAATCATCACACATTGTTATGTTTATCCTTGTTTTAATATGCGTGTTACTCTTCTATATGCTGTAAGGTAAAATGTAAAATTGTCCATTTTATAGTGATTTTCAAAGGAAGCCTTTACTACATATGGAACTAGAGAACTCCTAGGTGTAGCTTTTGACGATGATATAATAACAAGCTTCTACGTCTTTCACTGTATACGTAATACTATATGGGAGGATGTCAAGATTGAGTCAACTGTTACAGCTCCATTTTTTTTTGTAACTTCAATTTATGTGATCTTATCTTTCTTGTAGGGATGCATGTGTAGATTTCAAGGAACTTTACAAACAAAAGCACACAGATGGACAATGGATGGATGAGGTAGCTGCAATGAAGGCATGTACACCAATGGATCTATCGTACTTGGGAAATCAAGGTGTTATTCTTGCATATGACAATAATGGCTCTTTGGATAGTTCTGACTCGAAGGAATCAACAAATTCAAATGGTGTCAAAGGTATCCTATTTGTTCTTTCCTAACATTAATTTATTCTACTAGATTTAAGTTTAGGTGGTACCATATGTTTATCTCAGACAAAATATAAAAGTGAAACTTTTTCCTTAATTATTGTAATTTTAACTGATTAGTTCCCATCTGTGTCCGTAGATTGACTTCATAGTAGAAGAATCATATGAACTATATTAGGTAGTGTAATACATACCGATGACTAATGATCAAGAAAAAATTATGTACCAGTGTATGTGCATATAAATGTATGTCTACAGCATAGACTCACCTTTTTCATTTTGTAACGTCAACTGCTATATGCGCAGATGAGAATCTTCCTGCATCAGATCCATCAGCAAAAGTTCAGATGCAAATGCCATGGCAGAACCAAATTCCTCCATATATGTACAACTTTCATGGCCCAGCTCAACAGATGCCTTTTGCTGGCATGCATCCTTTACAATATTATCCAGCACATATGCAGTGGCCACAAAATGTAAATGGCTCCACAAATGGTTCTGTTAGGGACTCTCACAAACGGTCAAAGAAGAAGGAGAAATCCAAAGAACATGACAGTTCAGATGATGATGAACAGACTGAGTCGAGTGCCTCTGATTCTGGAACTGATTCAGATGAAGTTAGGAAGCATGAGAAAAAGCATTCTTCAAGGGAGAACTCACATGCTAAAAAGCACAAGAAGAAACCCTCAAAAACAGTTGTAATCCGCAACATCAATTATATCACTTCCAATAGAAAGAATGAGGAAAATGATGGATCTTCTTATGATTCATCTTCAGCTGAATCTCATATACTCGATGAAGATTCTATCAAAGAGCAGGTAGATGATGCTGTTGCAATACTGGAGAAACGTCGCAACTCAAAAGGACATAGGAACAAGAATAGAGGACATCAGAATCTTGATATAGAGAATGAATCAAATGGTTATAGCAACAGAGACCTAAATGAGGGCATGTCACCAAAGTTATCTGAGAAAGCAAAAGGAAATAAGGCTTGGGATGCATTCCAGAATATTCTGATGAGTCGTGAGGAGTCAAGTATGAATGGAGCAAGTGACCAGCTCCCTTTGGACTTCCAGGATGAAGGCTATGGGATCAAGAATTCTGGTGAGAAGGTCAGAAGAGACCATCTGACACCTGATGATTCTCTTCTCATGAGCAAAAATCATGAAGAAAATGGCACAAAGGTTAACATGGTAGATTTTGCCAATGGTTTGGATATGAGGCCAAGTTTGAAGAAAGGAGTTTCTGAAGATGTGCATCTTCTATTTTCGCACAAAGAACCATCAGGAGGCAATACATTGGGAACTCCATCTGATTTTGGTTCTGAATCCTCTGCTATTAGAAATAGTAATGGGGAAGATTGGTTTGTTGTCAACCACTCCGGCAGTTCAGAAACTCAAGAGGCTAGGCGAATAATATTTGACAATGACAGTAGCATGTCAACTCAGAAAAGTTCCTCTCAAGTCGAAAGTGAAAGAGCTGCTCCTATTGATGATTCTTTCATGGTACAGTCTCGACCATCTTTCGATGATCATTATGGCTCTCAGTGGAAAACAGACATTGGCATGGATGCAGACTTGGTTGCTGCAGCAAATGCTGAAAATAGTGATCCAGTTGCATCAAAAACCAAGCTTAGTACATCTGAGGCCAGTCAACCTGATGACCTCTGTGTGGTGCTTGCAAGAGAACCTAGTTTGGATCCTCTTGAGGCATCTTGGCAACCAGAATTGGATTTTCAGATTGAGGCTTCTTTCATTCAAGTTGATAAAAAATCTTCTGCAGTTGAGGCAAAACCTCCTCCTACTGAAGAAAATGTTCCTGTGAAAGGTAAAAGCACAACTAAGAAGGACAGTCTTGCAAAGACCGGGAAAGATGCAAGGTCTAAAGTCTCCCCAGGATCTCTGTCAAGGAGCAGAATTGATGCCTTAGCAAAGAGCAAGAAGATGTCTCCTCCTCCTAACAAGCTGACAACCCAGAAGAGCAAATTAGATCGGGTACGACAATAACCAGTAACCTCATTTTTTCCGTTGTTTTTGCCTCCATTATTTTTGTCTTTCTTATAAATCATACATCCTCATTGTTTATATAGGACGAAGAAATGCGCAAGAGAATGGAAGAATTAGTGATCGAGAGGCAAAAAAGGATTGCAGAAAGAAGTGCAGCTAAGGGTTCATCCCCAGCAGCTTCCAAGAAAGGGCCAGCAGGAAATAGAACAGCTTCAAAGATATCACCTTCATCCAAAGTTCACACATTTCCAGTGCAGGTCAAGCATTAAGGAGAACTCCATTAAGGAAAAGTATGATCCAACCTTAAAATATTTGATTGTTTTGCCGCGAAAATGGAACATCCACAACTCGCTGCTTTGTGCACATTGGATTATCCACAAATATATCTTGGAGAAATAAAATATTTTCGAGGAAAATTATAGATTCTTTCTTTACTAGGACAACTCTGCTTACTGGTTTGATGCAAGTTATTCCTTCTCATTTATTTAGACATTCATGTCCCATCATAAGGTTTTGCCAGTATAGTTGATTGAGGCTTTATTTTTATTATTTGTATACTGCTATTTGTTCATATGTTGTGTAAAGTTATTTGTAAATCTATCTGTGAGTTAAAACTTCTAATACCAAATCTTGTTTCTTTTTGCTGGATAAGTGAAGATAGGATTTGGTACTATGAACATCTGTCTTCCCATATTTATTCTTGATTCACATAAGTTTTGTATAATCCTCACATTTTACCAGCTCTGTTAAATCAGTCACTTTTATTGTTGTTATCTACTCCTATATGTTCTTTACTTTCTTCTTTTTGTATATATTATATATATATATCAGTGGCGGATCCAACCATGAGTTCAAGGTTTCAGCAGAATCAGTGCTTTGAATCGAACGATTAACCCTATGTATATGTGTAGTAACAAGTATAGACAGATTTAGATATATATTTTTCATATAGTCAATAATAAGTTTGTGGAAGCCTTGGAGCGGAGATTTTAGCCTGTGCGCACACAGGCACAAATGAAAAAGTTTGTGGAAGCCAATTCTTTGACAGGAGGATGTATGAAAGGGACAGCTGAAATCACAGGAATTGTCAAAGATTCCAGCATCCATCTGTACATTTATTTATTAGTACCTAATTACTTGAACTGTCTCTTTATTTTGATTTGGGGCAGGCATCACAAGTCACCACTAAGACACAACAAAAAAAACTTCCCTCTTTTCAAATATTTTTTTCAGTTTAATTTCTATTCAAAACAAGATCAAAGAATCAGTTGTTTGAATAATGTTAGTTTATTTAGGTAAAGTACCAGTTGAACTTTTCAAAGTTCTTACTTGTCCAGTTGATTTACTATTCTTAATTTCAGTCCCATTCAGGGTCGCATCGCACCGGACTTGCCGAGTGTGGGCTACCTCTCTCCTTTGCGAGCTATTGCATAGGAGCGAGAATTTTACCTTATGCGCACCCAAAGGGTAGCGACTACGAGTTATCCTTGTCATAAAAAGAAATTATCCCAAATATGACATTATCATCCATAAAAGATAATTTTAACCTTATTTATACAATATAATTTTTCGATTAAAAAGAATTCAGATAAACCCCTTGTTTCCCTCGCTCCCTACCCTGAGGTTAGTATTACAATGAAAGTGAGGCATCTCATTGATAACTCTCACAATATTTTCACAATAAATTTGATTGTATAAATATCTTTTATACCGTTCACCCTTATTTATCGGGCGTAGACAACTAGTTGAGTGGCAAACATGTTTTAGATCACTAAAAGATCCCTGAATTTTAGGAGCTTAAGATAAATTTTTATCTAGAAGTGTAACCATCAGATACAGCTCAAAGTCATCAAAACCAAGATAAAAACAACACATATTAACAAAAACCCAAAAATTTAGGGGTCATACACGGTTTGGCCTCAAAAAACCAAGAAAAATAATTTGAATAATTGACCTCCATTATTTTTTTTTATTTTTTATTTTGTCTTAACACTCTCTCTCTATTTTGTTAACAAAAGAGAGAAGAAGTGTTTGTCCATGTGATAAGTTGGATTAACCAATTTCCCAGTTGACTCCAGAGCTTGTTCATCATATTAATTATTCCAATTTTGCTCTGCACGTTATATGAGTCTTCTTTAATTTATCAATTTTCCTACAACTATTACTACATTATTTTTTAATCAAATCAACAAACAATTTTTTAATTTTTTTTTTTTTATAATATTGAATGCTCTTGTTCTTCTTCCTCCTCCAACATTCTTTTAATCATTTCTATTATTATATTGTTTTCATTCACCGTTTTTTTGCGTCAGCAAATAATATTTCTGGTTTTTCTATTGTCAAAGTTGACCTGGTAAAATCATTTTTGTGTTTTTTTTCAATCTTGTATAAAACTTGGTATTTCTCATTAGAAATGGCCATTGGAGCATGCTTTGGTGTGCCTCCTTTCTTTTCACGCAGGAAGCATAGTACAATATTTCAGGTATTTTTTTTATTCATTTTCTCTTAAATCTTTTGTTTATTTGTTGTTTGAACATGTTATGATCATCTTAAAAAGAATGTAAATTTATCTTAATTCTGCATTTCTCAATATTTGTAATAATTAATTCCATGCAAAACACAAGAGCTTAATCAATTTTCAAACTTGCATAAAAGCAATAAAACAATATATACAATCAAAGGATTTCTCCTCATAAAGGTTTTGAATTGATAACATATGATAAATCCTTAAGAAAACCTCAAAATGTTATAATCATATTGAAAAATATAAATGTTCTGTTAATTTGTGCATGAAAAATCCTAAATATACAAAAAGGCTAAATCCTACATTATATTTATCACAATCATATTCCATGCAAAACCTCAAAGGTAGCCAGCGATGTTGAATTTAGAAGAAGATTTCTCCCAATATTTCCTTTTTGACTCCATGTTCCTTGTTTTTTTGTTTTTTTAAAGGAAAAACCTAGTGATTAATGAATTGCATCATATGATGAAACAGATTAAGAAGAGAAGGAAAAAAAAAGATTTAAGAGGAGAAGATTGCATACAACAATAAGGTGATATAAAACATGTTTTGATTAGAGAAAAAAACAGCCCATGCATATAATGATATTTGACAAAAACTAGAGAAGAAATAATCTGGACATATTGACTATGTATCTTGTCATGTAATCTAAGAGCGAAGTAAGATAGAAAATTGTGAACTTGGATATTATAGCATAATACTAATAGTAGTTGACGAACATTTGCAGGAAGAAGAGATGAAAGAGACAAAGAGAAGTCCTGTTATTGAAAAGAAGAGAACACCTCCCATAGCAGTATCAAAAAGTTTTAAATCCAAAGGTTCCACGGTTCGTAATTCATGTAGAGTAGCAGGGAACTTCATAATAATGACTGAGCTTCGGAACAAGATCCTTACCTTGAGAGACTTGCTTGATTTGTCCCCTTGTATTGGTTCCGCGTCTGTAAATGAGGTACATAATTCTGTTATTTGTCTTCAGAACACAAGCACAATAATATCAATCTGTGAAAGGTTTTAACTTATATATATAATGAAGTATAAATGAATTGTTATACTCAAAATGGTTACTTAAACGCGATGTAGAAGTTAAAACTCTGAAATAAAAAGAGCAAAGCAGAATTTGGTAACCTCTGTGGTGAATTCTTTTTTTTTTTCCACAGCTGCTGATTTTGACGCTGAAAGATCTGCAACAACTGTATCCTACAATCAATCCATCTATTTCTTTGTCAAAAATTGATGAAGCACCGATGCAGCAGGTTACTATTTACTCAGCTGTATTGAGCATTACAAATTGAATGTTTGGCTATAGCAGATACACAGTTCACTATGCTAACCAATTGTTATATTTCTCAGGCACTGCAATTCTTTTTTGATACTCTGATATCAATTGGGGAAATGTGGACAGGCAATGATGAGTGGATGGTCAAATGCAAGGAGGATTCATTCAGTAAACAAGACAATTTGGAACACTATGGTACGTCATACAGTTTATTGCAACATCAAATAGATATGTTTTCCATCTATTATCCATCTCTTGACTCGTAAGTAAGATAATACTAATGATCTTTTCAATTACAACCAATTTAGGAGTGTTATTGCTCGATGACATGATTCATCTTGCTAGTGAAAGGATGTTCGATATGATGGATGAGGATGAGGACGAGGACGAGGATGAGGATGACCAGATAAGATATGAACGTCCATCATTCAACATGTTTGGGAGGGTTCTTTCTGAATCTTACTCAAGTGCCAAGTCCTCCCTCTCGAGCACTCCAGTGACCCCAACTTCAGTTCTCCCTGAGTTAAGGAGCAAGAAGAATACAAAGGCATCATACTCTCCACCTCGTCTTCTGCCACTCAGGGTTCAAGCAGTTGGCAAGCTGAATCCTATTGATGTAAAGCGCCTCTCTTTCCATATGTTCCCTAATGTAGCAGCTCAAGATTCAAATTTTGTTGTTCAATTAACAAGCTCAGTTAATGATCAAAAGTCAGATGTAGAGGCAAAGAAAGATTCTCAAGTGAAATCCAAAGATGATGAGGAATTTGAGCAAGATTGTGAAATGACAGACTTACCAGATATTCTACTGACTAGTGTGGATGTTGAATCAGAAAATAAAGGAACGTGTAAAACCGGGGCCGAAAATGATCTACCAGTGTCAGGACATGTTACCTTGGATGTGCTTTTACCTCCATCACTTCCAGAACAAGGAGCAGGGCAACAATCACCACTCACTTTGTCGTTGAATGTCATAGACTCGCAAAAACCAACATCTACTCTGCAAATATCTTTACTCACACCAGATGGAGACATATCATCGAACCAACCATCGACTTTTGCACCAGCAGCACCACAACCACCACCTCCACCTCCACCTCCCCCAGTACCCAATTCATCAGGGAATGCAGAAGGGCCAAGGCCTGCACCATTGTTAGCAAAACCAAGTGGTGTTCCACAGCCTCCTCCACCACCTCCCATGACATCAGCCAATGTAGCAACACCACAACATCCTATGAAACCAATATCTGCACTCCCACCACCACCACCACCACCACCTCCTCCCATGACAAGAAAAGAAATAGCATGTCCACCTCCACCACCTCCCATGACATCAGGGCAAGGAGTGACACCACCCCCGCCCCCACCACCTCCCATGACATCAGTAAAAGGAGTGGCACCTCCCCCACCCCCACCACCTCCCATGACATCGGGAAATGTTATATCAGTTCCACCTCCACCCCCACCTCCCATGGGATCAAAGGTTACTGCTCCTCCTCCACCCCCTCCTCCCATGGGCTCAAAGGTTATGGCACCTGCACCCCCACCTCCACCAATGACTTCAAATGGAAGAATGCCAGCACCACCTCCACCCATGCCAATGGGAAAAGGAGGTGCACCTCCTCCACCACCAGGGTTTGCAGGTGCCAGGAGCCTAGGACCTAGGAAAGCAGCCACTAAATTGAAGAGATCATCACAAATGGGAAATCTTTATCGACTTCTCAAGGGAAAAGTTGAAGGATCTAGTTTAG